CCCTAAGTATACATCCTTCATCACCCAGCTGTGTCTCACTATGCAGCTACATGATGCACTGCTTTTGACCTTTTTTTTTTTCTTATTTATTCTTGGATAATTACTTCTAACTTGGGTCATTGTGTTGATCCTTTTTACAGCACAGCTTTACAAACAACAGCACTGAGACAGCCAAGGGGCACTGAAATGTCACTAGGGTGAGAGCAGGAAAAAGATAGCTTTGACTTCCAAGAAAATGCAAGGCAAATTGGCCATATTTAGGTATACAATAGGATTTGTGTAACTAAACCTGCAATCTCTCTCTCCTTTAAATTGAAAACTCCTTTTGGGGTGGGGTAGGGTCCCCCCCACCCCGAAGAACATTCAAACGTACCTCTTGAGAAGACAATGAAAAGAAATATGTTACAGGTTTGAAAGTCCATTCATGCTCATTCATGTCATATTTCCATTTGCAAGAAGTGAAATGGGTCTTGTTGTAAGTATGAGAGGTTGAAATAGAGTTATTCTTGCTGCCGTTAATAAATAACATGAAATACATTTAAAAATATGAACTACATACAAATAGCAGATAGTTTTTGAAAAGTGGTCATCAAATATGAACAAAAAAGACTGTGATGTGGTTTTGGTTTTCAAGCTCTAAAAAAAAGTTCTGAAGCATTGTTTGTTTAGTTTACTTCTTTAAAAGCTCCCTGTAAGGTCACCTTTAAACCTTGCACTTATTCCCAACTGCAGACAATTGCAGTGTCAAGCCTGGTTTGCATGAAGATGCTAAATGTATAACTTGGTTTCACTCTTCCACCTCTCGGAGCTGATTAGCTCCATCAGCACCAATGCTAACGTTCCAGCAGCAGCAGTGCTCCAAAATGAGCTTTTTCCTCTCCATGTTTCTAATTATAACACTAAATTAGTTTTCTTTGTCATGGTGCTCGAAATAGATCAACTGAACTGCCTCGCCATTACTTCCTGATCGTATTTGTTCTGGTGACCTTTCCACTTGGAAAGACAAAATGGGTAACTGTCTGTAAGCTGGCTCTTGGGACTTGCTGGGAATTAGTTTTCAGAAACTGCTGTACCTTCTGGGACCGTTATAACATGGTGGTTTCATTGCTTATGTGAATATATGCAGTAGCAGCTAAACTGTTTAGATTTCATGGGTCGCTCTTCTGAGTTGCTGAAGATGAGGTTGATTTTTCATAGGTCTAATGCATATTTCATTTCTGTGGGTGATAGAAGTGTCTGAACTTTAAAGGAACAATTTGTCAGGAGTGCTGAGAAGCCTCTTTCCCCATTGACATCAGTGATGCTGGTGCATAGTGGTTCTGAAGAGCTGGCCCATGGAAGGAAAAATCAATAAGAATAAAGCAAATAATGATGATACATGTGTGCACATATGCACCAAGACACATTACTATTTGATTGTAATGTGAAATAAAGTTCATTTTTCACTTACAGCTTCAAGAAATGATTTTGCTGCTTTCTGAGATTTCTTTAATGGCTTTGTAGTTCTTCTTTGGAAATCTTATTTTACAACTTTATTGATCAAGACAGCGTTGATCTTGATTAGATCTTGGAAGATGGTGTGATTCAGACTCAATGCTGTAATCACTAGCAATTTTGTCTATAAAAAAACCCCAATCTGCCAAAAACCCCAGACCACAAAATAAGTTAGACTTCTAATGTCCAAGTCTTTGTTATTGATAGCTTTATAGTCTTAGTTTACTTTAATTATAATTTGTTTTATGCTGCATTTTGCTGCCCTTTTTTTTTTTTTTTTTTTTTAAATGTACCACCATGATGAAGTTGATTGTATTTTTGACCCTGCCAGTGATGGCTTATCCTAAACCAGAGGGATGGAACCCAACAAAAGGAAATAATCTGTTTCTCTCTGGAGAACGATAATATAATACCTTTAATGCATGGCTTTTATTATGAATAATGCTACCTATTATACTGAGTAGGAATCAAACAATTGCAAAGACAGGGTTGCTTTTTCTTACAATGTAATTAGGTGATTTAGAGATGAAGGAAGGGGAATGCTATGAAATGGAGAGCAGTGATGATGAATGGGGAAGTTTCCGTGTGCCTGGCAGCCACAAGCTCATGTGGCTCAAGCAGGACGGTGGTTTGGGGTCAGAGTGGTCCCAAGGTCCCTTCTGGCCCTTAATTTCTAAGCATGTGCCCTGGGGGCGGGGGGGGAGGGGAGATGGATGTATGCTCTGTATTTCTGACCCAAATAATCAAGATAAAAGTTTTGGCATTACTGGATGACATTTGTTTGACTCCTGAAAGCATTAAGCCACGCAGATACTGGCGCTGTCGTTGGGAAAAACATTGCGGGAGAAGATGTAACACAAGCATTTGTTTAGTAACAGTTGCTGAAGAGAACTTCTGGGGGGAAAGATTAGAAAAAAGGGAGCCATCAGAAGAGGGGTAATACACAGCACTTTGATGCTGATATGAATACTATTGATTTGGAAAGAATAAAGAACAAGAAGAGAACAGCTGGAAACCATAGAAGAGTAGGAGAGTGTATCAGGTTTTGAAAGAACAACCCAGGTTTTGAAAGTGCTGTATTTGCAAAGAGAGAAACTGCAAGCTGAATAGGACAAAAAAGGTGTTGCCTACCTACTGGGCTGCATAATGTCATTATTATTTCTTCTGGTGCACTGCAAATCGGTTCCTCTGGGCAGTTTTTGATTCACGTCCTGGTGAGTGCAGAGCGGGCATGGCAGCTGCTTTTCTGGTCACCTGTCACCTCCACGGTGTGTTCTGCACCCAAAACGCTCCAAAAAGCTTGGTCAGGTGGGAGGGGGCATTTGCAAGCCTTAATTTCTGAGGTTTTCAGTTCCAGTTTTAACGTGCTGATTTTTAACCATAAAGCCTAGAAACTTCTTTTTTCCCTTAATGAAAGCTGCATGTTGATCATATGAATCCGGGAGCTGGAACTGAAATCCTGGAAGACCTGCCCAAAGCTGTGTTGCTGCACCAGTATTGGTGCTTTTTGCACCACGTGCGTGCTGGTAAAGCTGCATGCCACACACTCAAGCCAGTTAGTAATTCCCATTGACAATACTCATTAGGAAGGAAAAATCTTTTTAGACTGCACATTGTCTAGGCCTTCTGGTGGACAGGAAACCATGATAATTGTAATCTCGGGCATTTATTGACCGATCCTTCAGGGCGTAAAATACTGATGGATGCATGGAAGTAATTCTGTAGGTTACAATTATTTAGCAATTACTTCTGCATTTGAATTGCGGGCTCTCACAGGGACCCCAAGGGAAGACTGTTTTGAGCAGAACCACAGCTTCTAGATTTTATTCCCATTTCTTCCCCAGCTGCTGAGTGGCCCTAGGCAGATCAGGTAACTGCTCTATACTTCAGGTTACTGGCCTGGAGAATATTAAAACAACACTTACTTCTCTCTTCATTAATATTTCAGCAGATATCCTGTGCCTGCAGTTATCTCCTCTTACAAATAGGAGGGAGAGAGTGGAAGCAATGGTATTTCAGAGGGCTGTGCTGAATGCAGCAGTGGAGATGAACGCAGTGTGGAGACGCACGGGGACATTAGCATGGTCGCTGAATTTTGAATGGGGACGGCTGTGTCACCAGGGTCTGGCGAGGCTGTATTAATGAATGCCTGCCCAGCACTTAGTGATCCTCAAAAGAAAAAGTGCTGCACTTTATAACATGTGAAGGGTTATTACATTATAGCGTATTATTGTCAAGGCATCATCTTTCATTCTCAGGACAAGTGTTATGTGATTGCCAAGAGAAGCAATAAGTAATCTGCATTAGTCTCATGACAAAGATGTAATGGGGTGACTTGCTAACATTTTTAAAGTGTATAAAACTAGCTACTGTAGACAGGGTCTCCGATTGTGGTACTTAATGAGTGTAATAAATTACCTTAATAGTGCAGTTAGAATTTCAGCTGAAGTAGAGAGGTGTATTCAGCAACATGCTTCAAATCAAGATGCCTTTAGCCTAATTTATCTGATGTGCTAGCTCTCCTCGGGTTTCTCTGCAGCAGCCCCGCTCCCCCAGCTGCTTTAGCAAAATGGCTGGATTTTCTTTGCTGCTCTTGTGGTGTCTTCGCAGCCTGTGAGTCTCGCCAACTTGGTACAAATGAGAGCTGTGTCTGTGGCATGCAAAACGTGACAGGAAGATTGGGCGAGTAAGGGTGGCAGATGCTGGGGATGCCCATGCAGCAGAACAACATGTTCCGCTTAATAAGATAAGATCCGCTTATTAATGTCTCCATACTACAGATTGACTCAATAAATCATAATGGCTCCTTTAGCACCATTGTACTGTATCATGTCGAATATCCACTTATTAACATCTGTGCACTGCAGAAAGATTCCTGTTCTGTCGTTGGCTTTTATATTTTGCTTTCTTTTTTTTCTTTTTTTTTAAACCACTGGTAAGAAAAAAAGACAACACATTCCAGTGTATGTGCCTGGCTATCAGTGTTAAAACATGAGTGCTGCTATGCTGAAGTGTCATCTGGTAACGATGCTTAATTCTACAAACAGCTAAAGTAGCAGCTGAGTAAC